CCCCGATTTCTCTGATATCTGGATAGTGCATTACATTTGTTTAACACACTTCTATTCTTTATTCGTTTTGTTTCCTTGAAACTCAAGATTGGATTCCAACATTAACTGGGAGAACATCCTGGCACTGCCATTGTGGTTCTGGGATGTCTAAACTGACCAACCCTGGGCCTCTGGCTGTCACAAGAGAGTGCTTAGTCACAGGAGAAGTTTTGACACCTGTGATTACATGGCCTATGCTCCTTTTCCCAAGCCATAAAACAGTCGCTGGGGAAGTGTTAGCATGAAACTTCTCTTGAGGACAGCAAGTAGAAATCTTCCCTTTAGCTTGCCAGGGTAAATGGAGGTGAGGATTTTATTCTTATTAGTTACGAATGAGGGAAGGCTGCAAGGAAAAGTCATGCTGTGCACAGCCTTGAGGTCTCTGATGAAACAAAATGACACAAAATTTACAGATGCTAAAACCAGTGATAACATCAGTTTGATGTTGCATTTTGTCTTCCTCCTATAATACAGTAAAATGGCCTGTAATTCACATTGCAAAATTGGTATGCATGGCTCTTTGAAGATATCATCTTCATTGTATGTCTGCAGTGGCCAGAGTTACAAGCCAACTTACTACAGTGCTATGATGAGCCACACAAATAAATAAATAAATAAATAAATAAATAGGGACAAATAACACCAGCTTCTTGGGGGCAGCTGCCGGCTCTCAATCTGTCTTGCTTAGGGTATGAGCTTTTCAGCATAGGAAACCTTTTGTGCCTTGTACAGACTTAAATTGACCCCTGGGTCTTAGAAAGGTAATAGATTATGTTAATTTTGTTTATTACATTATATAAAATTTGATTTTAATTCAGAGATTTAACTTTTAAGTCCTTGATGACAGTGACATTAGTACAGACTGAAAGAGTTCGCAGTTCTGTCTTAGCCTGTCATTTTAAGCTGAGCTCTTGTGACCTATCAGAGGTGGTTGCTGTAGCATGAAAATGCTTTGGAAAATACATATGGATTGTGGTGTATTTGTTATCTTTGTATAGGTATTTCATCTGTTAGTGCTAAAGGGCTTTTTGGAGGGTGATCGTAGCCATGTCACTAGCTGGGTGGCTTCACTGTTTCTTTCCTCCTGTTTATTGAATACTATCAGTATTCATGTCTTTGCCCTACTCCCAGTTTGTTTAGCTTTCAGAGCCTCTTTAACTCTGATGTCCGCAAGCAAAAAATTTGTCCCTTAACATGAAAAACAAAACCCAGCCTAGGGGAGCTAGACTAACTTCTGACCATCTGTTAGAAGGTTAGTAATATCACTGCCTTGAACTATGGCTTCATTTTCATACTTCATGGAGCAGCTTCTCTGCATTGTTTATATTCTGGCTGAAGGGGATCTTCCTATACCAGGATGCAATAGGAACGTCATTTTTCCTCTAACATGAGCAGATGTCCTATCTGCAGTACTAGCAATAACATTGCCGCTTCCTGTTGTTGCAGATGTTGTTAGCAGGCTAGAGCTGCAAGCAAGGAGAGGGCACACTTCAGCCCGGGCCGTTCAGCGTCATCATCAAAGCTACCTACGCACCTCCTTTTGCACGTGTACTCTTTAATAGTGGCTCTCTCAGCTAGCGGGCTGGAAGTTGCCCTGGAACACAAATTTATTGCCTTTCTACTTCACATAGGGGAGGAGTGCTTCCAAAATCTCCGTTCTTCTTCTCTGCCTTGACCTTTGCTTTCTCTAGATTCGTTTACACTAAACCCAAATTACAAGTAGTGTGTTACCATATTTAGGGAAGGGGTGCCTGAACTGAATGAATCTGGTATACATTTAAGTGTAAATCTCCTCAGTCTTAGGTTTCAGGGCCTGTGCAAGTCTTCAATCAGCAATTATTACATTCTTTTTCCTTTTTATAGAAAGTCACTATCAAATCCCATGACACATTTCTATCAGAAATCTGGCAGGCTGCCATTCAGACCACAGGAAGCCCAGGAGAGAAGAATATATACACTTAGGGCCTTATTCCATCTTCATTATTCCCTACACCAGCAGAATTCCTTAAAGTCTCTGGAAGTTTGATCTGAATGGAAAGTATTTCGCCTGAATAGCACCCCTTATTGAGGCATTGTCACCAAGTCAGAAATTTAGATGAGTGTTGTGGCTAGCAGTTCAATCTGTACTGCATGGCTGTTTTTTCACACCAACACAGGGAGTGCTAATCGCTTCTAATGGTCTAGCAGGATTGTCTGGCAGTGAGGGACTTCTCGATTTGAGAGCTGGACACTGAGGGGAAAAAACCCAGTTCCTATTCAAGACTTTTATCTGAGAATGTATTCATTTTGGCAGTGAAGGGAATATTGTATTTTAATGGTTTTCAATGGGAAGCACAGTCTTAATAAAGAGGAAAGCCAGGGTTCTGTTCACAAAAAATTATGCAAAAAACCTTGTGCATTGGGAGAAAAGGAACAAAGAAAAAACCTGCAATTTCTGCATAAAAAATAACAAAATCATAAATGTAAGGCAGTATCCATAGCTGTCAGATGATAATATGGAAGTCTTAAACTCTTCCTATCTACTTCTTTGTGCCTTAGTATATGAATGCATTGTTGTAGTTCAAATGACTACTGATCTTGTATGTTATTCTCATATAGAGACTTACAGAGAAATTATAACCTTGTTTTTATGTTTGGATCATTGCCAGTTCATTGGCTACTATTATCACTTGTGATTTCATGGAGCTATAATTGTTGGGAAGTAATTTTCCTGTTGTTTTAACCAGCAGCACTTAGCTGCATTTCTGTTTTAATAAATATTGTCTCAGTCCTTCAGGGAGTTCTAGTCATTTTTTTAGGGTTCATTCAATATTTTCTTCTCCTCATTTCAGGTTATTGAAGGAAAGCTGGCTCCTTTCTTGGGGAAGGTGATCAAGTTTGCCACCTCTCACGTGTACAGCTGCAGCCTTTGTAGTCAAAAGGGTTTCATCTGTGAGATTTGCAACAATGGAGAAATCCTTTACCCCTTTGAGGACATTTCTACAAGCAGGTACTGTAATGTCAGTGATACATTTGACTTGCCTACCATATCCGTGTGGATTCTCAGCTTCGTGACCTCTTGTTTACATAACTAGGGTCTGTATCCCACTTATGCACGTTTCTGGGCAGCTATACTGGATTACTGGTCCAGGGAGGCCACCACGAGCAGACTTGGAAGTAGATGGGAACAGCTACTTTCCAAAGCCCTGTAAGTCTCAGAACAGCTGTTCAAAAAGGGAAGAGTCCCTAGTAGCAACACAAAGTGTGATTTATCCAAAACTCTTCTTAGTTTGCAAAGTGTCCTGAAAAGTGAAACGGATTCTCTGGAGTGATCACAGACATCTTTCTGGTATCTGATGTCACTGGGCCCATGATGTACTGGGTCTGTCCATTATAAAACAATGACCATCTATTCTGAAGTGTTTTCTCCATTAAATATTTTGGCTAATGCTCTGCTTTTTGTGTGCATACTCCTCTGTGCCAACGTATGCAAGATATTTACTTTTTTTAGATGACGTTGCTCTTCTCAGGTGGCTGCAAAATAAATGTAAGTGTATGCCAGTCCTAAGCTAAACAAAAGAACCTCTATTTCACATTATATGGAGTACTGGATGCCAAATCAGGGACAGGAATTGCATGGAAAACCTAGAAGCAAAATGCAGGAAACCATGGCATACTTGGCAGTGCAGCAATGTTACTACTGTTTTTCAAAAATGTCTTAGATTTTGAATAAAGGAGGATTTTTTGTTTTGGTTTGTTTTTTTTAAACTCAATAGAAAGAGTACATCTGACAGCACAGCGTTTCTCCATAGATAAGTACTTTTTTGTCTGTTTCAAATACCGTAATTTTAATTTGTTCTCCAAAGTGTTCCATTGAAAGGAAAAATAGTGAAGAGCCATCTTTGGAAACAATCAGGACCAGCCTTTTAAAAGGGATTCATTAAGAATCTGATTCCCCTGTGTGCACGAAGATGTTAAATTACAAGTAACCAAGGACTACTCTTTGGGGATTTTTCAGCCTGACCTGAGTTTCAAAGACTGTTTGCACATTCTTTTTCCAGACTCTTATTTTAAAAAATGCATTGACAAAGCAGTGGGCATAAGCTAAACAAGGTGTGCAGCTGAGCTCTATAAACAGTTTTCAAGAACGAATGTATCTAGGTGCATGGTGAGATAGGCCGAGTTAAAGGAGAGAGACTAAGGTGACATAAAACATAAGATGTCTGTTGAGACTGTATAAAAGGCGATTGAAGATATTCCCAAAAGAATGATGAGAATGTGTAACAGCATTTGGGTTTTCTTGAAATGTCTGTGCATTTGATTTGTCTGGAGGATTTTTGGTCACAAAACCATTGTTGGGTGTATACTGTTCCCCCGCCCTTCAGCTGAGATCAGATATATCTTGCAATTACAGAGCTTAAAACCTTCTAGAATCAAATAGTATTTGTCAGCAGTTCAGTGAAGGCCAAAAGAAGCTGTTCTAGCTCCTGTTTTTATGTGAATTAGAAGCCAGAAAGGACTTTTTGTTCATGTTTCACAAATGTGAAGTAGTGGTTGATGTCATGCCAAAGACAGCGGTCTTTGTTAATGATTTTAATTAAAACACAATCAGCGTGAAAAGTTCTCCAATATTTCTCTTCCTTATTTTGTCAGAGGTCATTCTGCTTGCTGTCTTTGTACTCCTTATCACTAAACCTTGCTTTTATCCCCAGCATTTTCCGTCTCCCTTCCTAGTTAGTTATCTCATTACTATTTGTGTGTGCACATGCAGCTCTGTGAAACTAACGAGATTATTTCGGTTCCATATTTGTGGTCTTTTCCACCTTCGGGCTGGAGGCAAATCATGCCAACTGTGCAGCTCCATCAGCTGCAAAGCGTGAGGGAGAAAGCCAGGTAGAGGGTGTTTGTGTTTCCATCTCTTACAGATGAGAGAGATTTCTGAGGTAGGTATGCTGACCACTGCAAAGAAGTGTAAGGTGAGGAGCCTAGTTAGAAATAGGTAGATGTACAGACTAACCTGCGGCAGATGGAATGGCAAATCACAAAAGGTTTCTGTAAAGACTGGCAATTATACCTGCCATTTCTAATGCCGTGTGCTCAGCTTTCCTTGTTGGTTGTCAGAGAGAGCTCTGAGTAAACAGCTCAAATTTGTGATTTAGTTGCAGTATTCAAAGTCCACAATATGCAGTGAAAATTCGCTACAATTCCCTTTCTCCATCCTGGTTTTCTGGACTTACTGTCTGCAGCATAGTATTCACATTCTGTACTCAATACTAGACTGGCAGGTACCCTGGTCATAGCTGCTGAGTTAAGGAGGGAAGAGAAGCTGAGCTCTAAGACCATGTTTTTTCTTCTTACCTTTGAATGTTGCTCACTCACTTTTGAGCATGCTACTAATTCTACCAGCAAACTGGGCTGTTAGGTTAGAAATATTCAAAAGTGGGTGCATGACAGCTTTTGCAAATGTCACCTCTCTGTTGAATGTTTGAAAACTGGAGTCGAGGGTGTGTGTGTGTGTGTGTGTGTGTGTGTGTGTGAGCAAATTGTGTGTGTGTCTATGTTGAGCTGGCATTTTTTTTTCTGGCTACCTCCCTGACCTTTCGCACTCTTTGGAGAGAAGAGTGACAGCTGTCAGAGAGGCCATTACAATCCAAGGTCGTTCTCAGGTGGCTGTTACCTTTCCATCTTCATGGTCTCTTAGGTCAGCTTTGAGGTGGAGAGATTGTTTCTCTCCGAAATACTCTGAGCAGTTTCTGGAGCAGTCTTCGGGAGGAATTTATGAAAGATGGGTCTTCTTTAGATAGAGCTAAGAGAGAAGGAGGGCCCCTGTTGAGGGCTGGAGTTTCTCTTTGGTCAGGTTATTTGCTTGAGAGTCATTTTTGTCAGTCCTTGAGCAAACAGAGTGAATACCTGGGTTATGCACTCCTCAGGGTTTGAATACACATATATTACATACCCTTCTCTCACTAATCAGCATGACACATTCCTTTGTTGGCAAACGGTTCCAAAACAAACACAATCAGTTCACTTAATTAGCAGGTCTGTAGGCTGTGCTTGGCAGGCTCTTTACATCCTGCTCAACAATACAGCACAACAGTTTGCTGCCTTGAATGTAAGGGTGGGCTCACAAAGTCATAAGCTTTCTAATGATATTTCCTTTCTGTGGCTTTTCTTGGGAGGTGGCCATTCAGCACAGAGCTTAATGAAAGCTGTGATTCAGTAGTTAAACGATTTCTTAAAAACTGTCCCATCCTTTTGGATGCCTCTTCCAGTCGGTTTGATTCCTCCGCCCCCCCCATTTTTCTCTTTTCTGTCTTTCTCATGTTCATTAGGGTTCTTCTACATTTCACAATTGCAGCATCTTTTTGAAGGCCTTTAAATAATGAGAACTGTATTTAAAGCCTCCTGAGTTAATTGCACATTTAATGGAGCAAATTGCCAGCTACTGCAAACTCTCACAGCCCTGCTTTTGCTGGAGCTCTGGCAACTTAAACCACCTGAGCATCTAGCTCCTGTTCTATTTCTTGGACTAAATTTGCCCATGGCTTAAATTTAGCAAATAAACATATAACATTATCATATCATATCACTAATTTTATTTTTACAAGTGTTGTGAAATGAATGTAAATATTCCTGGTTATAAATTGGCTTCTTAGAGCTATCCTTGCTCATTTGTTACCAGCCAGGCAGTGCCCCTCAAGTTGTTCTGATATTGTTTGTTCTTAATTAATGTGGGGAAAATTTTTGTTTCTTCCTCCTAAAATTTTAAAAAGAAGAAAAAACAGAAGTGAAAATGCCTGTGTAGTAGTACTGTTGTCTGTAATATGTGACTGTATTTGCTTTATAACCTAGAACAATTTTTAACAGGTTTTAAATCTTAATGAATACTGAGCAAAATACCATTAGAACGAGAATAGAATTATTCATTAAAAAGGGTTTTCTGTCCAATTAGATAATTAAGTAATTATGGTTAAGATTATTATACTCTACCCAGTTAATAAAGTGTTGCTCTTGCCTGTGTGGGCATCCTAGTGACTACTTTCACAGGCAATGTGTTGTGTTTCGCTGGTAAAGCTACTTGCTTGGTTAAGAACTATTTAGTCAATTCCTTGCCTTTTATGTGGTGACTATAGATGTATATGAACCATGGAGAGTTGCTCTTTTGTGTTTGTATTCATTTATCAAGGCTAAACTGTTTTCACTTTGCAAAGTTAATTTGTTCTGCAGATCAGTTAAGACATGTAGACCTTTTAAGATACAAACCAGAAGACCTAAGTTTAAAATAGACGTGCCACAGAACAGACTTGACTATATCAAACAGCTTGGATGCCTCTATAATCTTTGGCCACCATCCTGATAAGACCTATGAATGTACTTAACTTTACACATAGCAAGAAGTCTTACTAAAGGCTCTGAGGCTGTGCTTAGCTTTATGTGCATGCCAAAGTCTTTGCAAGATTACAGCTCACGGTGTTATGGATGCTGTGTCACTGGACAAAAACATCTGTGAGCATTTGGGAGAATGTTAAAGATGGATATTATGTGAAGAGACCGAAATGCATAATATGGAGCATTTCCAGAGAATACCTTGGCACAGGTCAAAGGCATCACTCAAAGTACATAATTTTCCCTCTTGCTTTGATTAGTTTGTTTTATGCTAGACAGCCTTTCCCCAAGCCCAGTTCACCTGAGCTGTGCTAGCAGTTTGGTACCTAATTTTTGAAAGAGCTTAGCTTATGGGATGTTGATAGGTGGTTCAAAGCACCCTGAAGTGATCTGCTCAGCACTTCCTTTAAAGAAACTTAGGCACCTAAGCAGCTGATGTTAAGTTCTTGTGATAATTTAATTTCACCCGAATCTGTCAAAACTGGTCAAAATCTTCTGGCCCTGATCTGATTTTTGCCTCTGCAGGGTATCACAGTAACGTTATCTAGAATACATAAAAAGAAACAGAAAAAGTCTATTGGCTTTTTCATCAAGCATTGTATTTTGGAACTGAATTAGCTTTTA